GCCTCGAAAGATCAAATCTCGAGCACTTTAAGCCCTGGCATCACTCCAGGCCCTCAAGCCTCAAAAGTTCAAATCTCGAGCACTTTAAGCCCTGGCATTGCTTCAGGCCCCAAGCCTCGAAAGATCAAATCTCGAGCACTTTAAGCCCTGGCATCGCTCCAGACCCTCAAGCCTCGAAAGATCAAATCTAGAGCACTTTAAGCCCTGGCATCGCTCCAGGCCCTCAAGCCTCGAAAGATCAAATCTCTAGCACTTTAAGCCCTGGCATCGCTCCAGGCCCCAAGCCTCGAAAGATCAAATCTCGAGCACTTTAAGCCCTGGCATCGCTCCAGACCCTCAAGCCTTGAAAGATCAAATCTCGAGCACTTTAAACCCTGGCATCGCTCTAGGCCCTCAAGCCTCGAAAGATCAAATCTTGAGCAGTTTAAGCCCTGGCATCGCCCCGGGCCCTCAAGCCTCGAAAGATCAAATCTCGAACGCTCTAAGCCCTGGCATCGCCCCGGGCCTAGTAAGCCTTGAGAAGCTAATCTTCGAGCGTTCCAAATCCTGGCGCCACACCAGGCCCATCAAGTCTCGAGAGATCGACTCTCGAATATCCCGAATCCTGGTGTTACGCCAGACGATGCTGTTCTGAAAGATCGGAGCTCCTTAGCACGAGATGAGGTAGGATCTTTGTGTTATATAAATCCATGTTTAGGAAACTTAGGAGGATCTTGGATTGGTGAATGAGAAGTCAAGAGGTGCCTTCCCTCTTGGCAAGGCCCAATTAACAAGATGATGGGATTATACATGTTGTGACAGCAAACCTTAAAATCACAATTAATGCTGTGTCAGGCTTGACCAACCGACGGCCAAGCAACATTTAATGCCCCTGATTAGGGGAGAAGTGACATGGCAACATGGGATAAGGCTCGAGGAAAGGATTAGACCCTTCAGACCCCTAAATCTTTAGGATTACTCACGTAATCCGGATTGGGGGTGATGCATGCGAGGAACCATGCATAGAGGGGACCATTGGATAATGACCAATGGAATCTTGATTTATAAATGGCACTGTCCTATGAAGAAAGAATGAACTCTCGAACAAAAAGAAAAGCTGTCATACTGTATACTCGCCCTACTACCATCTTGATCTTGTTAGTTGGTCTTCTTCTCCTCCTCCTACACTGAGCATCTCCTCTGTTTTCCTTCGTATTTGTATTCCTGATATCTCTTTTTATTGCTATTTTATTACCTAATAAAAAAGAACCCCTACAACAAGTATATCAAATAAAACCTTAATGTACAATGTTTTTACAAATTAATTTTGTAATATGAATTGGAAGACATTATGTTGACCAATGTAATTTGTAATACGAATTATAACTTGTGCTAATATGTATGACCAATGTAAGAGTAGCACATCCTAGCTTTGTTCTTACACCCAAATAAAGCCCTGGGTCCAGACGAATACAATGCCCACTTTTTCTAGTTTAGTAGGGGAATCATCAAACGTAACGTATGCAAAGTTGCATTGAGCCTCTTTCAAAGTGGAAAGTTGTTAAAACAGGTGGCCTCAATTTTCCTTCAACTCATCCTTAACAATGTCATTGTCTAAACCAGGATTCATCCAAATTCAATCCAACAAACTAGGAAATTTAGCAATATTTCTGCAAGTTCACAATCACAGGTGGTCTTGACAAGCTGTTATGGCAGAATAAATAGTTCTCATTCAAAGTTGCTTGGCAGATATGCAGGGTTTCTAAGCTTGAAGTTAGTTAGGTTAAGCCTGAAGATATACATATCATGTGTTCTGTCAATGTATTTTTGCTAAGAAGGTTTGGAGTGGTTTTGGGGAGCTTTGGAAGTGGCATTCAACTTTTCAGAATGTTGAGAATTGTGTTACAACTTTGGTGCAACAGCTATCCATTGATACTATCAGAAACAAATTGCTAAATATTGTGGTCACGACTACATTATACTACATCTGGAATGAGAGGAATTGCATATTGCATTTTGGTATTGCTAGAGAACCAACTGGTTTGGTGAAGTGTATTATATTGGGATGTATTGGATGTCCTGATGGTATGCCTCCAGGATATAATTTAATTCTGATAGTTTTAGGGGTCTGTCCATGGTGTTTTCCTTCCCTCTAAGGTTGGAAGAGTTTGAGGGTTTCCCTCCTTTGTAAATGTACTTATTTGACATATTTATAAAAAAATTCCATCATTTAGGTGGGAAAAATGTCATTGTGTAACATGCTCATAAACCCTATGTCTCAAAAAAATTCTGAATCAGCTTAATGAAGTGGTTCATGAGTTGGTGGGTCACAAACCAATCCAAACAAAACCTAACTTTGTTATCTTATAATAGAATTAAATTAAATTCAACTCAAATACCGTCCATCATGAAAGCTAATTTTTTTTTTTTTTCCATAGAGCACGTGTATCGGTCCCACAAGACACACATACCATTCAAGTCAGGAGTGCTATTCGAAAGCGAGATCTCAGGGACTTACTTCCTGGATCCCTACCAACGCCGCTTTGCCCCTGGGGGGAATGATAAATTACTTTCCAACATTTATTATGCTAACATTTAATACAATATAAATGTTCACTTACAACATTTATTATGCTAACATTTATTATGATAACATTTAACACAAATTTTTCTAAAGACAAATATTCACAAAGGATAATAATAATTACAAATTTAGTATCCAATATTTATTAGGCATTACTTACAACATATATAACATTTAGTAGGGTTAAAAAGAAATAAACACTTAAACAAACAAATCCTAAAATATGGGAAGATAATGTACTATGCAACTCTATCTTCCATCTTATCACATTCCTTTTTTCGGCTATTAATGTACTCTGGTGATTTTTTCTGCTCTCAAACAAACTTAAAAATCCACAAATAATAGCACAAAGAACCCTGCCAGTTCAGAACATAATCTAAACAACTCTGTAAATCTTTGTATCTACTTTAAACCCAAAAAATTTACCCATTAACCAAAATAATAATAATAATAATAATAATAATAATAATAAAAGAGGATTACTTTCCTTGTCTAGGTAATGTTCACTTATATCCCTACCTTCTTAATATTTATTTTTCTTTTTCTACCATTGATTTCTTATGTCAATTAGAGGATTTGTTTGCAAACAAAATATAAACTTGGAAATCAAACTTGTTGTGTATTTGTGCTCCGGTAGAAATAAGAAGAAATTTATGAAAACACGGTTAAGGAGAAATAGAACTCTACTTCTTTTTGGAAACAAATCAAAATATCAATACTTTGGAAGAGAAGAAAGACTGAATTTTAAATTTCAATTAGGTTGTTGGCAATTTTGGAAGACAGGGAAGGAGACAATGTACTTGTGAACAATGTCTATACATAAATTGTATATAAAAATAAATAAAAAATTTAAACCTTCCTAAGTTATTACCATTCATTTACTCTACCGAGAGGATCCTGATCCTATCATAAAGACACTTAGGGTATGTTTGGTATGGTGGGTTTGAAGGGGGAAGATAAAATTAGTTATGAGGGAGAGGGAAAGGGAAGGGAAGGGAAGGAGAGGATAATTTTAACCCTCCGTTGTGTTTGGTTGGTCAATGAAGGAAAAGAAAGGGAAGGATAATAATAAATTTACTATTATACCCTTATTATATTTTAAAAGATATATATATATAGTATCCTATACCTGTACAAGAAAAGAAAAAAACAAAAAAAAAAGGGGAAAATCTTCAGCTCCCCAGTCTCGCCTCCATCTCTATTATATATATATATATATATATATATATATATATATATATATATATATATATATATTCTCCTATATCAGCAACTGGACCACAAGAAAAGGAAAGAAAAATTTCTTTCTTGAACGAAGGTCAATCAAGAAAGAATTAGACGATCCAGATCCAGCTGTAGCGACCTTCGTTCTTGAAGATTCCGATCCAGGGCAAATCATTTCAGCTTCCCCAATCTCGGCCTCCATCTCTATGATCGTTCTCAACTCTCTCTCTCTCTCTACAAGATTCAGAAGTTCAAAACCCAAACCCATATATTTTAGTTTATCTTTCTATCTGCAAGAATCCCAAACCCATATATTTTAGTTTATCTTTCTGTCTGCAAGAATCAAAAATTCAAAACCCGTATCGGTATATCAGATTGTTCAGAAAATCAAAACCCATATCTTTCAAGTTTCCATCGCCACTGTTCCAGTTTGGGTTTGCCGTTCCCAGCCGTTGCCCGTCGTCTCTCCATTCTTTCTGCAACTGCTAACTTGTATGTATATTGTTTTGAGGGTAAAATTGGCATCACAAATATTACATCAACCATTGCCTTTCATTTTCTTCCATTTCCTCCCATTTTTGGGAGGTTAAACAAATCACTGTAGAAGGTTATACATAACCCTCCAAACCCTTCCCTCTCCTTCCCTTCCACCCATTTTACCCAAACACAATTTTTTTGTCACCCTCCATCATATTTCCTTCCCTTTCCTCCTATTTCCACTCTACCAAACTGAGCCTTAAGAATTTGCTTGAGAGGATCCATTTTAAGGAAGCACAAATACCAAGGCCGTCCGCTCCATATGTAACGAGGGAAATTCTCTTTCAGTCCTTTTAAGAAACAAAACAGATGGACAAAGACAAAAAAGAAAAATAAAAATGGATTAAGTTAAAAAAAATAAAAATGGATAAGTTAAAATAAATAAAAATGGTAGACACAAGAAAACATTCAATATAATCTGAACAAATAACAATAGGAGTTGGCATTATAGTTGTTGAGAATAAAATTGTTAGGAAAAAATAAATAAATAATTAAAAAAATTATTTTATTTTTTTAAAAATAATAATATAATAAAATATAAAATGAAAAAAATAAGCGCACAATAAAAAAAACTAATCTTCAAAATGAGTGTAAAAACACGTAGCAATTGTGCCGAATATTTTAAGTTAAAGGAATGATGCAAAACAACCTATGGGTTGCTCTAACGCATAGGATATGCTCGATAGGATCCATTTTATAGAAGCACAACGACCAAGGCCGTCCGCTCCGTATGTAACGACGGAAATTCTTTAAGAAACAAAACAGATGGACAAAGACAAAAAAAGAGAAAATAAAAATGGATTAAGTTAAAAAATAAAAATTGTAGTAGACACCAGGACGCATTCAATATAATTCTCTCTCCCCTGTGAACCTAGGATCAATCATCAAACCATAAACAATGGAGCTTAAGCCAGGTCTATCAGCTTTGGTCACTGGCGGTGCCTCTGGAATCGGTAAACCTCCAGTTGCCTTTTTCTTTTATGGGTCTTATACAAATAGAAGTGATATCTCTTATTTATATATCAATTTTGCTTCATTATGTACACAGTTTATTATTGATTTAATTGTTTAAGTATCAGAGTCAGATAGAATTTGCGCATAGATTGAGTATCTTTTTAATCAGTTGGGTTATGGGACTCTGTTAGTGATCAAGGATGGCTGTGGATGTCTATGCCACAAGTATTGGGATACATTTATAGGCAAATATGTGTTGTAAGTATCAGAATTTCATAAATCCCAAACCTTAGGATACCTTGATTCGGCTCGAAGTCTGTCCAAAACTTGGATACAAGTGGATATGCAGACTTGAAAACATAAAATGCTACATAGAAGTGTAACATATGATTTTATTATTCTTTACAATAGTATTCAATAATAATTACTCCGTATAAGTAAATGAAACATGGCGAAAGAAGAGAAATGCCATGTAAATTTGAACTTTTCTACTTCTTCCATCACAAAACATATTTGGGTTTGATCTTTTACAAGATCGGATGACTAGATGCAAGGTACAGAGCAATCTTGATCTTACATTTAGGATTACGTAAATTTGCTGGAGGCTTGGAGAGGTTAGATAGTGCGGAGCCGAGTCTGCTTGGACGTTGGCGTCAGTTTGTGTTTGCTAGGGCTTGTGGTGAGAATGAACCTGTGATCCTTTGATGGAGAAGAGGTTCTGATATGGGTGCTTAAATTTTCTATACCTAGTTCTTAATTGTTATGCGTACAGGGTTGGAATTGTAAATCTTTGAGGGATATAGTGGATTTTGTAGATATGCCGATAGTATAGCGGGCTTGTTGGTCCTTCGTGGCCTCTTCTTTTTGCGATGCACTCCCTTTTTGAGTGCTCTTTAAAGAAAATTTACTTATATATATATATATAAATATATAGTCCCTCAGTGGCAGCATACATCTCCAAATGCCAAATAATGCAGTTCCAATAATTGGCCACAAAAGCATATTTCTTTTCAAACCAAGCAACCCAAAGCATGTCCTTCCCTTGTAAAATATGTTCAAACTAGAATACATTTAAAGGTTAGAATCCTTATCATATAATCTTCTAATACCGAACCCTCCTCTTGTTGACATATATAGATAATTAGTTGTATTGTTGACTATATAACTGTTAACATATATAGATAATTAGCTATACGTGTGCTGATAAGGTGCTGATTAGCATAGTTACAGGAGCTGATTTTTAGTCTTTAATTTCTTTCCTTCTTTGTAATTATTCCTTTCATTCTTTGTAATTATTTGTGTACTATTTAAATCCTCCACAAGGAGAAGAAGAATAAACACGGAGAATTATTCATATTCCTTTATCTCTAGAAATATCTTCATGGTATTAGAGCCATCTAGAAAGGAATTTTAAAATCCTATTTTTCTTTTAGGGTTTTATGCAAATACATCTTATTACCCAAACACTAGTTTATTTATTTATTTATTTATTTTATTACCCCATAACCTACCAACAACCTTACCCACCACCACAGACTAGGTATCCTTATTTGACTTCATGGCAAACAAGATTGAAACCCTCTGTGACTTCTAAGATTGATTCTCAGACTCTAATGATTCCTCCAACCGCATCTAACCCGCATCAAGATCTGATGAATGTCCAGTTAATGCCTCATAAACTTGATGGCACCAATTATCTGGCTTGGTCACACTTTGTGAAGCTATATATTACCGGCAAAGGCCGGTTGGGGGATTTGACTGGGGAAAACCCCGACCTGCGATCAATGACCCAACTTTCACGACTTGGGTTGCAGAAGATGCAATGCTCTGCTGCTGGCTCCTCCAAACTATGACCTCTGATCTTAGTCTTGGGCATATGCGGCTCAAGTCTGCTAAAGATATTTGGGATGCAGTATCTCAGACTTTTTCTGTGGGAGGAAATGGGGCACAAATTTATGAGTTGCAGCGTAGTATTCATGGGGAAGGACATTGGAGGGATATTACAATGCCCTCCAAGCTTTGTGTCAAGAACTCGACTATTGTCAACCTTGTGAAATGGAATGTGCTATTGATATCACTCTGTTGAATAAGAGGATTGAAAAAGAGCGCGTTTTTTGAGTTTCTTGCTGGTCTTGACCTAGATCTGGACCAAACAAGGACTCAGGTGCTTGGAAAAGATCCGTTTCCTTCTTTACGTGAGGCCTATGCTTATGTGTGTACTCAGGCCCTCCGACGATCTGCTATACTCATGCCACCTTCTCTAGAAGGATCTGCTTTGGTTTCTACCACAAGTCAATTACCTCGGGTATCATTAGCACATCAGCCCGATCCTCCACTAACTGCAGCATCTGGTAATGTCGCTAAAACTACTAAATCTGATGACAAAGATTGTTTGGTTTGTGATTATTGTAACCAGACTAGACATGTGAGAGAACAATGCTTTAAACTCAATCGTTATCCGCCTTGGTAGCCGGGAAGAAAGGGTGACAAAGGTGAAGAAGGCAGTAAGGGCGGAAAGGGAGTCATTCTAGCTCCAAGGCTCATTATACCTCTTCCAGTAATCAGAACGGTGACCAATCTGCTGCTAAGTTCTCTTTTGGTTAGATGGAACAAATGATTTAGGAGTGTGCACGTTTGCTCTCTACTAAAGGGTTCAGTTCTTTAGCCACGTCCACAGGTAACCTTGGTCATTGTTTTAGTGTATCCGGTAAGTCTTCCTCAGAATCTTGGGTTGGGTTATAGATACAGGGGCAACTGATCACATGACCTCTACATCTCATTTTTTTCTCATGTTATTCGTCACATATTAAAACTTGTGTCACAACTGCTGATGGTTCACCAACCCTTGTGACTGGTGAAGGTTTAGTCACTCTTTCTGATTCTTTGTCCCTTTCCAATGTTCTTCATGTCCCTAGATTGTCCAATAATCTGATGTCTATCAGTCAACTTTACTAAAACCTTAAACTATACTGTCATGTTTTTTTGGCACTCAATTGTATATTTCAGGATCTCCGGACGGGGGCGAGGATTGGTCATGGTAGTGAACGAGGTGGTCTCTATCTCTTGGATCCTCAGTTCATGCTCTGCAATCCACTACTGGTTCATCCTGTGACATTTGGTTATGGCACAAGCGTTTAGGACATCCGTCATTTTATTATTTTAAAAAATTGTTTCCTTCTTTATTTTCTGTTGTTGATGTTTCTCAATTTCAGTGAAACTTGTGAACTTGCTAAACATCATCGGGTACCTTTTCCATTAAGTATTAATAAAAGTGCATTTCCTTTTGCTCTTGTTTATAGTGATGTTTGGGGCCCTTCTCGTGTGACTAATTTGTCAGGTGCTAAATTGTTTGTCACATTCATTGATGACTACTCCCGAGTTACTTGGGTTTATCTGATGAAGGAAAAAAAGTGAAGTTTTCACTATTTTTCAGTCCTTTCATCAAATGATCCATACACAATACAATTCAAAGATAAAAGTCTTCCACTCTGATACTGGGGGTGAGTACATTTATTCGGGTCTCCAATCCTATTTTTCTAACCATAGCATTAGTCATCAAACTTCTTGCATCAATATCCCTCAACAGAATGGAGTAGTCGAACAAAACAATCGTCATCTTCTTGAAGTATCCCGTTCTCTGCTTCTATCCATGACAGTACCAAAGTCATATTGGGGGGAGGCTGTCCTCACAGAAGCCTATTTGATCAATCGGATGCCTTCCAGAGTTCTTCAATACCAAACTCCACTTTAGGTCTTCATTACTTCTTGCTCGCCACTGTTAATCATCTTCCTCCTCGAGTCTTTGGTTGTAGAAGTTTTTTCCATGTACACCATAATGGTAAGCTTGACCCTCATTCCCTTAAATGCATTTTTCTCGGTAATTCTGCTACTCAAAAGGGTTAAAAGGGTTATCACCCTCCGTCAAAAAATTCTTTGTCTACATGGATGTTACTTTTCATGAGGAACAAGCCTATTTTTCTAGTCGTGCTTCGACAACTTCTCTTCAGGGTGAGACCTTGAGTAGTGAAGAAAAGTCTTATATTGTGCCTATGTTTGAATTAGAGAGTGGAAATGAAACAAATGAAAAAAATGGAAAAAATGAAAAAAATAAAAAAAAATGGAAAAAATGAAAAAGCAGAAGGCGGTTCTTTGACTCTCCCTCTAAAAGGTCATCATATGTCTCCATTTGAGCTGGTATATCTAAGAAGAGAAAATGTACCTCTCGAGCAAAATGATCAGTCTGCCCCGACAACAGGTAATCTTGAGGTAGAGTCCGTTGAATCTCCATTCTCTTTTGTTGATAATAGTTCTGTAGATCCTAATGCTTCAGATGATTCTAATGTTGTTAATGACTTAGAATTGCCTATTGCCTTGAGAAAATCACATCGTACTTGTCAGTCAAAATATAAATATCCTAATTCAAGCTTTATGTCTTCTCATCGTCTCTTGCCATCCTTTAAAGCTTTTCCCCATCAATTGTCTTCTATATCTATTCCTAAAAAATTATAGGATGCACTTGACAATCCAAAGTGGAAAGAGGCGATGGTTGAAGAATTGAGAGCACTCCGAAAGAGCTCTACGTGGGAGTTAGTGGAGTTGCCGAAAGGGAAGAAAATTGTTGGCTACAAATGGGTGTTTACCATAAAGCATAAGGCAGATGGGTCGATTGACCGATACAAGGCAAGATTGGTGGCAAAGGGCTATACTCATATGGCATTGACTATCAGGAGACGTTTGCTCCAGTTGTGAAAATGAATACCTGTTATCTTTAGCAGCTAACCTAGAGTGGACTCTCCAACAGTTTGATGTTAAGTATGCTTTCCTCTATGGCAATCTAGAGGAGGAAGTGTACATGGACCCTGCTCTAGGTAGTGATGAAAGTACCAATTAGGGGAAAGTATGCAGACTAAGAAAATCATTATATAGCCTGAAACAGTCTCCTAGAGCATGGTTTGGTAGATTTTCATAAGCTATGCAGAAGCATGGATATCATCCTAGTCAAGCAGATCATACGTTATTCCTTCGACACTCTCGAGGAGGTAAAATTACAGTTGTTATTGTCTATGTGGATGATATCATCATCACCGGGGATGATATTGAGGAGATTAGGAGACTAAAGGTACATTTGGCTAAGGAATTTGAAATTAAAGACTTGGGTGTCTTGCAATATTTTCTAGGTATTGAAGTGGCTAGTTCAAAGTGGGGAATCTTTGTTTCAGAGAGAAAGTATATACTTGATCTTTTAATTGAGACAGGGATGTTAGCCTGCAAGCCTGTCGATACTCCTATCAAACAGAATCATAGATTGGGTGAACAGCCTGATGATACACCAGTTCACAGAGAGAGATATTAGAGGTTGGTTGGAAAACTAATATATTTGTCTCATACATGACCTGATATAGCTTATGCAGTGAGTGTTGTTAGTCAATTCATGGACGAGCCATGTGAAGTTCATATGCAGGCAGTAGAGAGGATACTTAAATACTTGAAATCAGCACTTGGTAAGGGTTTTTTGTTTTCAAAACATGATCACTCTGCTGTAGAGGCCTATACAGATGCTGATTGAGCAGGTTCTATTTCGGATCGAAGATCAACTACGGGATATTGCACATTTGTGGGTGGCAACCTAGTTACTTGGCGGAGTAAGAAGCAATCGGTTGTGGCCAGGTCTAGTGCCGAGGCTGCATTCAGAGCTATGGCCCACGTTGTGTGTGAATTATTATGGTTGAAGATCCTATTGGGAGAATTGAGGATTGTTTGTCAAAGTCCCATGAAGCTATATTGTGATAATAAGGCAGCCATCAGCATTGCTCATAATCCTGTGCAACATGATCGGACTAAACATGTTGAGATTGACAGGCACTTTATCAAAGAGAAGTTAACAGAAGGTGTGATTTGCACACCCTATGTGAGGACTGAGGATCAGCTTTCTGATATTTTGACTAAGGGAGTCTCTAGCAAAGTGTTCAATTCTTCCCTTGCCAAGTTGAGAATCCGGGACATCTATTCTCCGGCTTGAGGTGGAGTGTTACATATATAGATAATTAGCTGTATTGTTGACTATATAACTGTTAACATATCTAGATAATTAGCTGTACATGTGCTGATTAGCATAGTTATAGGAGTTGATTTTTAGTCTTTAATTTCTTTCCTTCTTTGTAATTGTTTCTTTCCTTCTTTGTAATTATTTGTGTACTATTTAAATCCTCCACAAGGAGAAGAATAAACACCGAGAATTATTCATATTCCTTTATCTCTAGAAATATCTTCACCTCCTTCATTAATTTACTTTAAATCTGTTTTTTGTAAAAGGGGGATATATTGACTCTACAATCTTGTAAGTACCAATAAGCCATGTGGTTGTATTTTTAGCAAAAATATTTATATATCTTACGGAAAAATAAGAAATTTATTTATTCTTGTAGCATATTTTAAACCATGTAAAGAACATGACATGGGATGCCAATGTCTTCATAAAATCATACTATTCTTCTTTTGATATGCTCATCATCATCTGCATCATCCTTGCCTTTATCCCATATGGATGGGGTCGGCCACATGAATTTTCTTTTTCCATTCTTTCATATTATGCACCATATCTTCTCTCAAATTTAAAATTTTTAAGTCGTTTTTAATTACTTCATCCCATGTAAGATTTGGTTGGCCTCTTTGACACCTTCGATTTTATGGACAATAAAAAAAGCTTCGATTCTTTTATGCATGAGAGATTGCGCAGACACAGAAGATTTCATAATTGTTTCTTAGCAACTGTTGAAACTGAGATTTGTGCTATGTGGAAGGAAATTAGTTGGTTTGTGACACGATGCATATAAGTAGAGGTGGATGATTGGTCTTTTCATTCTTTCTAAACCTTTTGATTGATTTTAAACCTTACTAATTTGATTAATTGATTCAATCAATCAATTCCACGCAGCATACAAATGCAGAAACACAAATAGAGAATAGGGGAAGTAAAACACAATATTTTTTTTGTGAAAAACCCGGGCAGGAAACACATGTGACAATTCTTTGCTTGGAACAAAAACTTGTCAAAACCCAGTTATTAATGGCCTCAGTCTAATTTCCTCGTTATCACTGGCCACCAACGAGCCCAGTTGTTGTGGATGTCTCAGTCTTACACTTGAATCTGTAAGATGATCCTCAGTTGTGTCAATGACTCAATGCAATCATTTCCTAAATTGTCTGACTTCTTCACAAGTGATTGTATACTCCGCCCTCCTTTGATCTTGAAGGATAAGTTTGAATTGGTAGAATGATTGATCAAACACAAAGGATTTCTCAGAAAAAAAAATTATACTCACAACACAGATCACTTAGCTGAACAAAAGTTTTCTGTGAAGTGACCTTTTGAGATTCTTCATGTAGTTTCATCTTCAGTCACTAGTCTTCACTTGTATCTCGATATTCCTTGACAAGTTGAATGACATGGACTTAGATGTTTTGTTCAAACGTTATAGTCTCACTTGTTACAGCATTTGCCATGTCTCTTAATGTATATGACTTCACATAAATACGTCTTTTTTCATGGACTAATTAATTTCAATTGTTCTCCAAACTTCTTGGTATCTATATATGAAGGACTTAGATGTTGTGGACTTTATATGACTTTACTAGATGTTTTAACACTCAACAACAAACAAGCATTGTTTGTAGTCATTTTTAGATTACATTACGAATTAATGAATACTCTTGCATCAAAATATCTTGTTGAAAGTCCTAAAGAAGATGTACTGAATATTTTGTGTTTCAATTTTGTGAATATCTGTTGGATGTTACAATTGTGCATGGTGTTGTGGTTCACATGTAGGTAAAGCTCTTTGTATGGCTCTTGCTGAGAAGGGAATATTTGTTACGATTGTCGATTTCTCCGAAAAGAATGGAATGGAAGTTAAATCCCTTGTTGAAGAAGAGAATGCCAAGTTCCATCCAGTCTTGAAATTCCCATCTGCTATGTTTATAAGATGTGATGTAACTGATACAAGTAAGTAAATTCCTGGTTTCATGACTAGAGAGAGTAATTCTTATCAGTTGCTTTCTATAATGGACTTCAAATAGTGTTGTAACTAATTTTACCAATACTCAATTTAGCCAAGTTGTAAAAGAAATCCAAGTTGTAAAAGAAATCCATTAATGTACCTGCAATAAGTGATAAAGTTTCCTATCGATGTTTTATATATGCTTAGCACTAATACCCAATTCATAATAAATCAAAAGACTTGGAACCTCTCTATGACAATTTTTTTTTTTGAAATGATGCCCACAATAGACACAGTTGAGGTCATGATACACCCAAATGCAAGTGTGACTTCTAGTCTTATGGTGTTGAATTATCAGTGGCTAAAATATCTGTTTAAATTATCATGTTGGAATCTCTGCATTTAATTTATAAAGTGTAACTGCTGATTTCTACATGGATTGTGTCCTTTACATAAAATTTTCAGCTAATCTTCTTCTTATTTGATTTTGGAGAGTCAAGGAACTGTAAGGTAATATATAGTTGGAAATATTCTAGGCATATGACAGACTTACATTATTATTTCACTCCTGTGGTGTCTTATTCAGTTATCAATACTACCAAGTGATTAAAATTTATTACGACGTTCTCATCTTCATGATATTAACATCAAGATCAATGGTCAATAATTGCTAATATACTAATATAAAAAGTCTAATCCTACTTTGGAGCTCATTAATTTTACTTGAGGTTCAATCAAGGAATTTGACACCAGCATTATTGTTCTTGTATAAGAAGTCTAGTCCAACTTATCAAAAAAAAAAAATTATATGAGGTTCAATCAATGAATTTGACACCAGCATTATTGTTCTTGTTCATGGAAATCATAAAGGATATGGTATTTACACATATATATTTGTTTAGTTTCAGAAGAACAAGGAGCTTGACGCCAAATTTATTGCCGTCGTTTATTTTAAAAAAAGTTGCATATCTTTACATAATTGCGTAGTATACATTTTGCATGATGTATAATTTACATTATCAGACACTAATCTTTCTATATTGAAATTCTAATTCTGATTAGTTGATAGGTTATAATTGGTGGGTTATTCTTTCTTGTATGAACAGGAGAACTAACTGGTGCTTTTAAAAAGCATTTGGCCACTTATGGAGGGCTGGACATTTGTATAAACAATGCCGGCATTGGAAATCCTGTGCCATTCTATAAGGATCAAACTGATGGTTCTGATTCATGGAGACACACTATCAATGTGAACCTCATGGCAATTATTGACTGCACTCGCCTTGCGGTATGCTTGAATTTCAATATTAATATGGTTTTCATAGTTCATCTTCTATTTAGGTGCCATTGCTTGGTGCAATGGTATTACCAGGTGTTATAACTGGTTTAGAGTCTTACTTTATGTAAATAATGCTAAGTTTAGATTTGTGCTGAATCCAGCCTCCTAGCATCCTTATTGGTGGGCCGACACTGGGTAATGGCATTTATACTAGACTCATTAAAATGGCATCCACTCAAGTAGCACTTAATTCAACTTAACAATGTATAATCCTAACTTTTTTTGGATCTGCTGCGCTAGTCATATCTCGCTGTTTTGCTCTATCTGGGATCATAATTTTATTCAAACTACTTACTGTCCTATCTTTCCTTGTATTGCTTTGAAACAAATCTATTGAAAAATTTACCATCAAATTAGGAGTAATATCTTTAATGCATTAGTAGTTGGCCTGTGTCAATAACATGGTTTCTATCTTTCTCAGTTATGTTAGAAAAGGGAAGCTTAGACCGTGCAGGAATTCTGTTTACTTCCCTGCTTCATTCCGCATTCCTAAAGTTTAGTGGAATATGGATAATTAATTGTTATCATTGCAGTGGTCCGGGAGAGTTGCGCTCTTCTATTACTTTGCATAATTTCTTATTTTTGTTGCGAGGATTAAAGTTCTTTACACTGAGTGGTAGTGCTTCATATTCTTATCAGTAACTTATTCTTTCTTTATCATGTGATGTGATGTGTGTTCTCTCTTTGCATTGGTATCAGCTGGGTCATGTCAGTAATTCCATAATTTTTTTACTCATGCCTTGAGCTTAATTTACTTATAAAGATTCTTTTTTCATTTAGTTCACTCATAGAAATGTTTTATTTATTGAAACTGACTCCTGAGGTTTTTTTATTCCTTTCACTTAAGTGGTCTGTATTTGTACCACTAATGCCTTCCAGCTGTAATTTCTATCTTGAAATTTTTTTAGGTCCTATATTTATCATTTTAAACTCCACTTGTTTGTGCGTAGTGTCTTATTCTTTCACTACTGTTTCCAAGCCTGTAAAAAGGTGTCGCATTATATAGTTGACAGGCAGCAACCAGTGTCAAACCATTGTTAGACCCCCTTATGAACATGAATCATTCTTGAGATTACTTCAACCTTAGAGTAGAATGGCTAGACATGATTCACACAGCTAAGTCCAAATAGCTGGGACAATGTTTTGTAAGCTGATTTATTTTTTCCTCGTTTTTGTAAGTTAAATCTACTTTTAGGAGATTGGCCACTTTCAATTGTGCTCTTCTTGGTAAGTGGCTTTGGAGATTTGGTAAGGAAAGACATAGATTATGGAGAAAGGTTATCTCATGTCGCTTTGGGGAGGAGAGAGGAGGGTGGTCAGCTGGATCAGTCAGGTCTGTTGGCGGAGTGGGGGTGTGGAGGGCCATTGGTAAGGGGTGGGATGCCTTTTCCAAACATATTAGATTCAGAGTTCGGGATGGAAGAACTATCCGGTTTTGGGAGGATCCATGGTGTGATGATAGGCCTTTGGCCCTTTTGTTTCCCAAGCTTTTTAGGATTGTTGTTGACAAACATGCAATGGTTGCTGACTATTATCGCCTTGATAGTGGAAGGTTGTCTTCGGATGTGCGTTTCCGGCGAGCTTTTCAGGATTGGGAGCTGGATGATGTCACTGGGTTTTTGGCTCTTCTTTACAGACAGGAGGTGGAGGGGTCTGGGGCAGATTCTTTGATTTGGGTGCCTTCTTCCCAGGGGATGTTCCAGGTCCGATCCTTTTTTGTGTGCCTTTCTGGTTTTCATGGTACCTCATTCCCATGGAAGACGGTGTGGAGGTCTAAGGCGCCTCTTAGGGTGGCCTTTTTTGTGTGGACTGCAGCTTGGAGTAAGATTTTGACGTTGGACAACTTGAGGAAGAGAAGACATATCATTGTTAATAGGTGTTGTCTTTGCAAGATTAATGGGGAGTCGGTGGATCATCTTTTGTTACACTGTCCTGTGGCTCATGATTGTTGGAGTTTGATGTTTGGCCTGTTTGGTATTCATTGGGTCATGCCTCGGACATCTTGGGAGTTGTTAGATATGTGGAGGGGCCAATGGGTGGGGGCTCAGGTCAGAGTTTTTTGGAGGGTGATCCCTTTTTGTATTTGGTGGAGCCTTTGGAGAGAGCGTAATGGAAGATCTTTTGAAGGAAAGGAATCCTCCATTGGGGTGTTAAAATTTTCTATCATTTGTAATTTGTTTTGTTGGGGTCAGGGGAGAGACTACTCCTCTCTTGAGGAGATTGTTGACTTTATGAGTTCTTTGAATTCATAGGCTCCGTTTTGTCTTTGTATAGTTTGGGTGGCGTTCCCCTTTTTGAACGCTTTTAATTCAATTTACTTATCAAAAAAAAAAAAATGTCATAAAACAAAAGAATAGCATGAGTAAAGGCTAAGTTCCCCCCCTCCCCTGCATTCCACCAAGGTGCATTGGTTCCTTGGTTAATTTGCTTTCATGATTTAAATATCAATTTTGGGTCTATGTCCTATGTTATCAAGCATGTGGAACAAATTGAAACTTTCTTTAGTTTGTAAGAAATTTCTTTAGTTTTGAAAGAATATTCACTTGTAACTAGAAAAAGATACCGAGTACCTGTTGGAATAAGGAATGTTACTTATTCTTGGTAATATAATCATATTTCTTATAATTGGCCATTCTATTGGTAGTTGTCGAATAATCATTTAAAGCTAATGGCAGATTCAAACCATGCAAGTTGCACAAAAGCCTGGTGTAATCATAAGCATGGGGTCTGCTTCAGGACTCTATCCAATGTATGCTGATCCTATCTACTCTGCCTCCAAAGGTTTGCTACGTTGAGCTAATCCATGTTATTGGTTTTTTATTCATTAAATTTATTTATTTTTTAACCTTCAATCTTTTCTAATGTTCTTTTTGGCCATTTCTTACTTCACGTATTTCACACCCATAAGATACCTAAATATATGTGCAGATATTATTGGTTTGTTCCTTCATGTAATTCTCAGATCTGATGGAATTATATTTTCTTAGGGGGAGTTGTTCTATTTACCAGGTCACTTGTTTCTTACAAGCGTCAAGGGATTCGTATCAATGTGCTTTGTCCTGAGGTAAATTTGGACCTTTAGAATTGTGATTTTTTATGATTGATACAAAGGACTGAGGTATTTGTCCCATGGAGCATATGCTTTTTTTTTTTTTTTTTTTTTGATAAATTCCATGGAGCATATGCTAGATTTTAGATAAAAATTGGAACTGAATATATATGTGACTATGTGAGATAGTAAAGTGGAACCCAATTAGTCATATGTGGTAAAGACCAATAATTGCAGCAATGAGGAAGATGACATGGTTTACATTGAAGAGAAGGCTAAAAAGAATACTGACACTAAATTGGGTTAAGGGAGGAAGATATGACTGCATGAGGCTTTAACTAAAAGGTTATGATCTTGGATACAACACAATAATGAAATGAATACATCTGTGAGACAGTACAAGTGACACCCTTTGGAGATAAAATAACTGATAACATGAATATGTCACGTGCAAGTGCAATGAAGACAATAATTGTAGCAATGAGGAAGAGTGAGATGGTCCAAATTATGGTTAAGGCTAGGGAAAGGAAAAGACTAAATCATGGATACACATGTAGGTTAACTAAAGTTAGCCTAGATGACGAATACATAAGATGGTAGAAGTGGTGCCCATTTAAATTAAAATAACCGAGTAAGATGACTTAGTCATGTGCAGCAAGGAAAAATAATTGCAATAGTGAGGAAGAGTGACATGATCCGCATTAAGGATAAGGTTACAAGAAGAGAAGGCTAAAATTATCTTGGATTTAGACATGCAAGAAATATGGTAGCTTGTTGCTTAACTAAAGTTGTGATCCTAGATAAATCAGAATAGAAAATCAAATACATATAGCCGAACCCAAATAGTTGTAATAAGGCTTTCTTTAGTTGGATTGAACATTTTCATTCTACAACACCCATATGCATACATTAATATATATGTATATATATATTTTGAGTGGAGTCAAATATTTCGTTATAAGATGCAAAGCATACTTTATGTTCATAATGCATGCATTTTTATGACGTCCATCATGATGGCTTTTAATTGCTGATGCTCAATTATTTTTGTGTTTTTGAGTAATAGCTTAATTTTGCAGATCTATACAGTAATAGGCCTAAAACATGCTATTGCTAGATAATTGCATTCTCTTTCATTAGTGTTATTGAATCCAATATAATAAAACTTAAAAACTCAATGTCACTGTTGTCCTTCAATTGTTCAAGCACTATTATTTACCATCTGAAAATTGTTTGTTCTTTCTAGAGTAACCAAGAGGGATATTCTTTCAATCTTTTTCTCTCTTCTATCATTATTGTTGAAATATATAAATATTTCTATATAATTGTGGAGCAAAATCCTCCACCAATCATGGTGATCCGGTCAATTTCCTTCCAATTATAAATATTTCTATATAACGGTGGAGCAAAATCCTCCACCAATCATGGTGCCTCCTTTGACTATTGCACACCTTCCATTTATTCTTATCTTTACCATACCTATATATAGGCTCCTTGTACTCAAGCAATATATAGATCTGAATAATAAAAATGTAGCCCTTAGTGGCTCTTTGTCCATGGATGTAGGCCTTAGTGCCGAACCATGTATATGCCTGTGTTTTCCATATTTCTCTCTTCCTTTTTCCTATTTGCATGTTTTATTTCCGCATCCAATTTTAACATGGTATCATAGCTAGGCTGTTCTTGTAACCCCATCTAGAATTTGAGGGGGAGTATTGGAACTACTATCATGGAGGATATTCTCTATGTCTTCACATTCCTTTCTCGGCGTTGTTCCGGCCATTTCCCGGTGTTGTTCTGGCTTTTTCCCGGCGTAGTTCCGGCCATTTCCCGACTTAGTTCCGGCAATTTCCCGGCTTAGTTTCGGCCTTTCCCGGCGTTGTTCCGGACACCTTTTCATCATCTTTCAAGGCGTTTCTTTAGCAAGTTGGCCATTCATGATATTCATGCTCCAACTTGAAGGGCAGTGTTGAAATATATAAACATTTCTATATAATTGTGGAGCAAAATCCTCCACCAATCATGGCGATCCGGTCAATTTCCTTCCAATTATAAATATTTATATATAACGGTTGAGCAAAATCCTCCACCAATCATGGTGCCTCCTTTGACTATTGTACACCTTCCATGTATTCTTATCTTTACCATGCCTATATATAGGCTCCTTGTACTCGAGCAATATATAGATCTAAATAATAAAAATGTAGCCCTTAGTGGCTCTTTGTCCGTGGATGTAGGCCTTAGTGCCGAATCATGTATATGCCTGTGTTTCCATATTTCTCTCTTCCCTTTTCCTCTTTCCATTTTTTATTTCCGCATCCAATTTTAACAATTATATAACAGGGAAAAAAGAGAATAGAGGGGGAGAGGGATTAATCACATATTTTGTCACGCCCCAAATCCCAAAGATCCGGATCGCGATGAAAAGAAGTAATAAAAGGAAAACCGAACCTGATCTCAACTCGAATTATAGCGTCGTACTCCGATACCAAGTGAAGACACGCAATGGTTCATTTGACCCTCAGACGTCGTTCTCAAACCCGGCGGATGCAACTCAATCTAACATTTAACAACTTTGAAGACCAACGAAAGCACCAAAGCCAACATCGTCACCTAAGGGTCAACACTACCCTAAACACCATTCCTCACACGTATCACCAACAAACCCCACGTTCCTCACATAGAGAACGACCATCGTCACTCGAGAAGGGATTAAACAATTCTATGAACCATGGTCCCATTATCCCCAAACACAAAGACTCGGTACTCAAGAAAAAGGAAAGAAAATAAGATGAACATTGGACTCGAACTTCTTTAGTAAGTCTCCTCAAACAACGGAAGCAATAAAATGCCTGACAACCCATAAGGTCAACAATATCCCAAGCATCGCACTTGCAATACTCGCAATCAACCATGCTCAACCCCTATGAGAAGTATTCCCAAAACAAAGTGGAGACAGACTTTAAAACGTTGTTAAACAAATACCCATTTACCTTGAGGAAGAAGGAAAACTCTAAGGAAAAGGGAGGAAAGGTAACGACCAAAACCGAATAGTCAACCGTCATCACCCTCATGGTAATTGGAAGCGCACAAGGAACGACCCCACACAAGGACCAACCAACCAAGTCTTAACCTTACAACACAACACAACACTAACCATCTGCACATTCTCATGAACACCTACAAAATCAGTCTTCAACGAAATCAAAATCAAGCGGATGCATAAATTTAATCGACATAAATCACGTCCCAGTTTGGTTTGAAAAGAAAGTAATAAAAGAAAGGTGAACTCCCAAACATATCTACGGGCGCCCTTAATCCTACCCTTAAAACACCCCTACAAGGGAGACTTATGGCGATTTTAGGCGATTTTGATTTAGGGCACAATTATCGAGGATATATTTTATATATACATATATTATGTCATGAAGAGGACTTTTTTGGATGTAGCAAGTCTGCCACGATTGGGTTGAAGGGAGATGTGGTGCGAATGTTTACAAACAAAGGGTTTGTCCTTCGAGTGGATGAGCAGGGTATGATCCACCGTAAAACGACGCTTCAATCTTGCCTCGTTGGGAGATTTGACAGAGATGTGGGTAGCTTGGAAGGAATTGAGGAGTGGGCTTCAAGGATTTGGCAGATTTGGGGTTAGGGTTTCTAATCTACCAGATGGGTTATTGCTGTTTCGATTTCCATCGGAGAAGGAAGCGCAGAGGGTGCTAAGATGGGGGAAAAAATCTTGGGGCGATGCAGTGCTGTTAATCGATTTATGGTGTTACAGAGTTGGGTGCTTGGGGATGAGAAAAATGACGAGGCAGAGAAGGATAGCGTTGTTTGGCCTTCTACTCCATCTTTGGTGCCAGAAGCTTTTTGAATCTATAGGGGAATTATGTGGTGGGTTTAAGGAGGTCGAGGTCTCTGAGAGCAAGACAGAAAGGATAGTCATCATGGTGGACGATGGTGGGGTCTTCCTGGAGTTCGTGATCGTTGAAGACAGGTCTTGGGCTTTCAAGATCTCAGTGACGGAGGAGATTGCTCCTTCTGTGGTGGCGAAACCCGTGGCATCTATGAATTTTGAGAAGAATGGACGTGTGTTTCGTAGATCCGATGCTGGTTCAGTCCGTTCGGCGAGTTTGGTTAGATTGGAGAAAGATGGATGGCAGCAAGGTCAGGGACGAAGTGATATGTACGCGCGGAAGGCGAGTGGGGAAGGGGTGGAATGGAGGCGTACACGTGCAGGGGATATGGTTTCGAAGATTACAAATAAGGTTTTGGATGGGGCTGGGCCGATGGGACGCTTAATGGGCCGCGCAATAGGTCAGTTGGTTCTTATGTTCAGAAGCACAAGTCCAATGATGGGTATGGGCCTAATAACTTAATCGAGTAGAAGAGAGATAGGGCTGTGTATTGGGGCCCTAATAAGAGCCTGTTTATTAGAGTTGGGACGCGATCGGAGAAAGAGAACTAGGTTAGAGCAGTTCTTATAGTAGTCGTAAGGGGAAAAGGTTTCAACATGGGAGTTGATATGTGCATATGGCTTTAGACAATCGTTTCGGTCTCTGCAATCCACTTCTTATGAGGATGGTGATCTCACAGCTAGAGATGGGAGGCATTGGTCATGAAAGGAGAAAGAAATGAGTTTGCCCACAGGAAAGCCAACCCGGTATGTCTCTTTTCCCTAACTCTCGGAGCCTTCTTTCTGCTCCTTCTTCTTCTACTCCTTCTTGTGGGGTATTAGAGGAGGTAATTTTTGGTTTTTGGGGGGGGGTGGGAGGTTGACCGGAAGTTGGAGAGAAATGGGGTGGATTTGGAGGGGATGGGGCTGGATGCAGAGACAGAGGATGAGGTAAGACATTTGAGGAATCACACACTTGACATTTTGATGAGCTCTTCTCCCAAGATATTAAGGGAGAATGTATTAGTGATGGTACGCCGGTGGGTGTGGATGGAGTTACGGTGTGTGTGGGACGTGACTCAAAGTTTTAGTTAAGTCAAGAGGCTGCGTCAGTACTGGT